GCACCGGGAAGCCCAGGGACACGCATACGAGATGTAGAGATGGTACCTATCGGCCACGGCCGGAATATCACACCCTTCTTTGCTAGAAATCCAGCTGCGAAACGATGACTCGGTGCGCTTGAATTCCCCATCTGTCGATGTCTCATCGATCGCCGTCTTTCCCATCGCTCGTCCAGCTCCAAATCGCCTCTTCTGGATCCGAGCGGCAAATCGCAGTGATCCTCTGGCGATCCCGACGGAGAGAGCCGCCAGATTGACTTCCTGTTGCCCGCCAGATTGACTTCGATTTGGATTACTTTGGGCTCTGTTTTTCAGGGTTATGATGCTGGGAGCTGCCCGGCGATGGCGATGGCGTCTCCCGGCGTGGAATCTGGGAAGCAGGAGCTTGTATTCCACGCTCATGGGTATGTTCTTGCGAAATGTAGGTGGATTGGAGACATGGATTTTCTATCTCCAGACAAGCATGCGCCCATTCCCGACGATATTTTGCGAATTTTGGAGAAGAGAATGAGCTCTATTGAAGACCGCCATGCTTGTCTTTCCAAAGCGCTTCTAGAGGTAAATTGTAGATTCGGATTTCGTCCTTGAAAATACGATCGTGAATGATTTCAGCCTGGGATTGCGTCAGAAAAGCTCATCAAGATGAACAAGGAGCTTCGCAATCTGGATTACTCCGTGGATATGATCAAGGCGCTGAGAGCCAAAGAAAAGGTTTGACGTCTAAAGTTTGGAAAAAAGAGACTCTTTGGTTGAATGCAGGAAGTAATTGGCTTGAAAGAATTGGTAAAAGAGTCCGTTGAAGACGAAGAAATGCGTAGGCTGGCCTCTGGAGAACTTCAAACGGCCACCAGAGAAGTGAGAGATGCCCAGCACGACGTTCTCCTGGAGCTTATACCTAAAGATGAAGCTGATAGCAGAGGTTGTATTCTCGAAGTCAGAGCAGGCAAGTGCAACCCATAAGCTTGATGTTTGATATGTTTTATCTAATTTTTAGGAGCTGGAGGTGACGAAGCGTCAATTTTTGCGTCTGATCTCTTCAAGATGTAGGCACGTCTTTCTGGTTCATTCCGAATGCTTATTAGATTTCTATGAATGCTCTCAGGTATGACAAATATGCTGCAAACAACTCATGGAGGTTTGAAGTTCTGAGCATTACTACCACCGACACCCGAGGTTACAAGGTAACTATCCGGTTCTCCACGGGCGTATCTAAGCTTGTCTTTATAGGAGGCTAGTGCTGCAATATCTGGAGATGGTGTTTATGGAGCTCTGAAGTTCGAAAGTGGCGTTCATCGCGTCCAGGTACGAAAGTAATTACCGTGGTTTCATTTTTTTATATGCATCCGTGTGCAGCGTGTTCCTGTCACTGAGAAGGCTGGGCGTATACACACAAGTACTGCGTCAGTCGCTATTCTTCCCGAAGCGAATGAGGTTCACTCCAGGTTTACTAAACCTTTGCACTTGCATAGACCATTGATACATGTTTCTTTTTCTCGTTTTTCTGTTGCTGAAGTTTGACTCTGCTGACAGATTGATGTCGAGATCCGTAATGACGAGATAAAGATAGACACTTACCGAGCTGGTGGAGCTGGTGGACAGCATGTAAATACTACCTGCAGCGCAGTCCGAGTTACCCACACTCCAACAGGTATCGTGGTCGCAATCCAAGACGAACGCTCTCAACACAAGGTAGGCCCTTCAACACGCGTGCTTTGCTACAACTGAGCTGAGATTGTATAGAACAAAGCAAAAGCTTTGAGTATTTTATATGCTAGGCTGTACGAGCTCGAGCGGTCCCGAGCAGTGGCAAGTCGGTCTGAATTACGACAAGATCAGGTAATTCAGTTTATTGTCGCAGAACGTTATTTTTTCTACTTTTATAAATTGTCACTCCAGATTGGCTCAAGCGACAGATCGGAGCGCATAAGAACGTATAACTTTCCCCAAGGTCGGGTAACTGATCATCGAGTGGGAGTGACGCAACACGCGATTGAGCAAATTATGGAGGGGATTGGTCTGGAAATTTTTGTGAATGCGCTCAAGATGCAGCACGAAGCGAGCGCTTTGGCGTCGCTCAAAGCTGCAGCAGCTTGACTGCCCATAAGTTTCACTGTTTTTTTTTCTTCCTATGTTTTTTTTACCGTGTCAGATGTTGACAATTGGATTCCGCATTTGTTTGAACGTCAGGTGAGTGTTCTATTATAAATGGCAACAGCACTGACTTGTTTCCATGCACAGGACCGTCATCGGATCAATGTGCGTGGACGGCACGAAGCTGATCATGTAGGCCTCTTTCGTGCGACGATGTGAGCTAAAAAATGGAGTGGGGGAAGTCAGAGGTGCCAGGCCACCTACTTAAACGTTTCTCCTGAAAGAATCAACATCTTGGTCAGTAGCAGAGGAGGATGGTTCATGAAATGACGGCTGCCGATGGGACGCTACGGGTGGTTTCTTTTCCTTGGTGCATTAAGTTCCGGAGCGTTTGCAAGAATCTCTTGAAGCGGATGAAACTCATCGGTAGAAGGTCGTCAACTCGTGGGGTGCTGGTGAAGAGCAGCAGCAACAAGCACAGGATCAGTTGGACAGCGAGCTTTGCATACAGGCAGCAGCAGAAGCAAAAGCTCAAGAAGTCGGGAAGCAGTTTATGGTCGTTTACAGCAAACTCAAGAACAGTGATAGCTGCACGGAAGCTTTAGATCGCCAGGAAGTCATCCACCGCAACTTAGAGGATTCTCAGGCTTCGTCCAGCAGCTTCTCGTTCAAGAATGATGCGGAGGACCTTGGGCATGGCAAAGGCAAGAAGATTTTGTCACCGCATCCTGGCGTGCAGCGCAGTGAGGCTATGAAGCTCAAATCGAGGTGGGACGAAGTGGTGGAGATGGTTGTAGCGGACAGCTTTGATGATTTGGTGGACTTGGAGGAATTTCTGGGCTACTATATGCTGCTCAATTGCCCCGTCTTTCGAGCCATGGTGCAGAGGTTTTTTAGCGAGTTTTGTGTGGAGTTTTGCGAGGACGAGGAGCTTCTAGCTGTCAGTCTGTTCATCCCAGAAATGCAGGATTTTCCCTCTTTTGGGAATTCTTCTGAAAGGGAATTAGAATGCTTGCCGCCATCGCCTTGCTAGTTTAAAGGAATAACGTTTCTAGGAAAGACGAAAACATCGTTAGTAAAGCATATTTTCACCATAATGAAAATAAAAATGCACTCCATGACTTTTACTTTACATTTGAAAAGTTTCTAAAATATTAAAGAGTCTTACCTCCATAAAGGTTTGAATAAACAATAGATTAGTTTTGGTTTAAACCAGACGAAAAGGTCGCCTCTTGCTACTCACAAGAAAAAAGTACCAGTCACTGAAAGTTTCACCTCTCCTCATCTCTCAGGAATCCACCTCTTTTGGTTTAAGCTTAATTTCGCCACAACCAGCTTGCTCTTGCTGCTCCGCCCAGCACGAGTTTGTGCTAGCCCGCACGACAAAAACAAAATAGATTTTGCCCTTGTTGTAAACTCTGTATGGATCAGCAGGAAATCTGATCCAGACGATAATCTTGTTGTGGGCTCGTGACATGGATTAAGTGGTCTAAAGTCTCTTCCGTACTAAAGCCTTAAAAAGCTTTTCACAGAAGTTTAAGTAAAACAGGATGCCTCATGGATTGTGCATTGCCATGAGGGCTTGCGCAGATTTTACTCATAAAATATACTTTACATTCCAACAAATATTCTATACCGTATCAGAATATTTGTTTGAATGTATAGTATATTTTCATCGCCCTTAACAGCATACCTAGATTATTTGGTAGTCAGCAAGAATGAGAGACGTGTTGGTCAAGGACATCCATCATCTCCAAGACTATCCAGTCTTTGGTTCACAGACATCGGCTTTTGTTACGTTTGGGAGCGTGGGGGAGCTCATGGCCTTCTTGCGACAGCAGCACCCGCTCTGCCCACACGGCTGCGATAGCTCGGCACTCACCAAGTTTGACTATTTCGAAAACCACATGCTGATCCAGCCGCGCTACAAGTGCACGGTGTGCAAACGGCACTTCACCCTGGGTGGCACAATACGAGCGAAACGAGCCAAGAAAGAAGATGGCGGTCGTCCAAGGAAGAGACCCAAGAAGGAGCAGCAGCAGAACAAGTCAAGGGGGCAGTGTCTTCCTCGCGAGATGTTGCCTTCGTCGATGATTCCATCGGCCGCAACCAGTGGGAGTCGCGGTTGTGCATCCCCGCGCAGGGCAAGTCGCGGAGCTTCGAGGAGAACGGCGAGGCCATCACCAAGCACTACAGGTCAATGCCCTAGTCAACTCGTGGTCCGGGATCAGTCGTTGCCAGTCAACGCCTGTGACCTCGAGGGATACGTGCAAGACGAGGAGATCTTCCAGGAGGTTGAGAAATTGTGGTGTAAAATGGATTTGGAGGACAAGGGTCCTTCCGTGGAGGACGAGGAGAAGAACTTTCTCAGGGATTTCAATGTCGATGATGGTGATGATCTAGATTTACTACTGGGTCTTGAGGAGTTCAGCCGGGAGTTCAGCAACCCACAGGGCCAGGGCACCCGATTCGATTTGGGCGAGGAGCAAAACAATTTTGCCATGGAGCTGGTGCGGCAAATGGAGGAAGAATTTCCCATCCCAGCACTAGACGAGGAGAATGATTTCGCCATGGAGTTGGAGCGGGAAATTGAGGAAGCATCTATGACAGCAAAGAAACAAGCAATGCTTGTATGGAAGGACGAAGTGCGTAAAATTAGAAATCAAGACAATCTCACATTCACCACAAATCACATTGGTTTTGGAGGTCCCCAAACTCTTAAATGCTGATCGATGAGCAATAAATGGATGATAAATGAAAAGCATTAGTCAATAGAAGTAATTTTGTTTCTGGAACAAGTTCATTACATTATTTGTTATTAGGTGAAGAGTTTTTCATGAAAAAAGACTCACCCATCCTTTGTGAAAGAAAGAAAAAAAGAAATTAGGGCGAATTAGGTCTCTATAAGGTCGTCCCCGGAGGCAGAGGAGCCGCGATGCTGTGATTGTCAACCGAGCAGGTATTCTGGTGGCGCCCTTGCCGACAATGCAGCGATCGTCCTAGCGATCGATCGATCGATCGATCGATCGCTCGCTCGCTCCGGAGAAGAGCAGAGAAATGATCTGGGCAGGATTCGCGTACGCCGCGGGCGCCGCGATCGGCCACAGCTGCATCGATGCCAGCAGGAAATGGGCGTCCCAGCGCTTCTCGGACCGCGAGCTCGTAGCTCTGGTGGCTCTCCTGGACGCGCTGCTCCTCTCCTCCATGGCGCTCCTCTCCGGCGGCTTCGATCTCTTCTCTTTGACGCGGCTGGACATCGAGTACGTCGCCGCGCTCCTCGTCACCGCGGCGATCAAGGCTCTGGTGGGGTTCATGTACCAGCGTGCTCTCCACGTCTCCCCTCTCTCGGTCACTGTTCCTTATCTAGCTTTCACTCCAGTTCTTCTGGTTTTTACGAGCTATGTGATCATCAACGAGCTCCCGAGCTCGCAGGGGCTCATGGGAATCGTGGTGGTCACTCTCGGCGGCTACTTCCTCGCGCTGGATCACCCGGCGGAGGTGGAGGTGAAGAAATCCGACGAGTCCCCGGGCAAGATCGTCTCGGTTCTTCCTTTGCTTCCTTGGAACTCGTCCAAGGCTTGTGACAAGGTCCCAAAGTTTTCCACCGATGGCGATGGTGTCGTGTTGGATCTCAGTGAGAAGAACTCCCCTCCGGTGGCGATTCCTGGAGGGAATTCTTCCTGGTGGCCACAGATTCAATGGTAAAGATTTCTCTCTTTTTTTTTTCGCTTTTCCTGTTCTAAAGTTTGCAAAAGGGAAGAGGGGACGCTTCTCATGCTGGGTGTTGCAGCGTTACTGAGCATAAGTAACAGGTTCGTTTTCTCGAGATTCATTTATGGCTTCTCAGCTCCATTGTCTTTGCAGCCTTGACAAAATGGCTGGTCACTTGGCACCATCGCTTCTCAATTTTGCCGCTCTCCAACGAGGCTTTACGGCCGTTCCCGTGGTTTTATATCTACTTGTCACAAGGTTGGCTTGTTTATCTCTCTCAGGTGATAGCTTAGCTGACTCCTGCGTCAATGCTCTTCCGCTGCAGCCGCCGCCACCGCCATCCATCTCCAACACCCCAGGAGCAGCAACACCCCGATCAAACTTCTCGCTCATGCGGCTCCTCACGCCCCGCTCCGCAAGAACAGTGTCTCTTCCATTGCGATTCACGCTATCGTCTTCTTCGTCCGCGTCTCCGTCGTCTTCTTCGTCGACAGGGGCCGCGGCAGTGAGTCCAGATGCCATTAGAGAAAATTTGATCTCGTCATCAAAGGTAGAACTTTTCTTTCTTTCTTTCATCGTCAACTTTGTCATCTCGTCTTCGCAGGGCAAGCAGATCAAACGCTCCAAGTCGGCGCTCGATGGTCACCAAAAGGAGAAGAAGCTCACCCGGCTTTACTCCGGAACGTTTCTCGTCAAGCCGACCACTCCTCGTCCTCGTCCCCAGGAAACTTCACAAGCAGACGATGGAGCCCAAGACACTGACCATGCCAACGACACCCAAGGTACGGAAACTTCCTATGATCAAGTTCATGGAGACCATGGTTCCATGATCTGAAAGTTTCAAAACTTTTAGACGGCGAGGACGAGGAGATCCCCGAGGAGGAAGCAGTGTGCCGCATTTGCCTGTGCGATCTGGGCGAGGAGGGCAAGACGCTCAAGCTCGAGTGTAGCTGCAAAGGGGAGCTGGCGCTGGCTCACGAGGAGTGCGCTCTCAAGTGGTTTGGGATCCGAGGCAACCGCGAGTGCGATGTTTGTGGCCAGGAGGTCGTCAATCTCCCCGTCACGCTCGTCAGGCTCCAGCAAAACCAAAACAATATCAACGCTGAAACTCAAGTTCTCCAGCAAGCTCAAATGGCGCAAATGAGTGCTCCCAACAGGTAGATTCGTCTATCTCGCTCTATAGTTTTATAGATTCCATGGTGTTCTTCCAGGATTTGGCATGACGTTCCCGTGCTCGTCATGATCAGCATGCTCACGTACTTTTGCCTCCTCGAGCAGCTACTGGTGATAATTCTCTGATGATTTCGATTGATTTGCGAAGTTCTTGGATGGATTCTTTGTTGCCTACTACAGGTGAGACGAAAGGGCCCTCGAGCATTGATGCTAGCTCTGCCATTCGCCGTCATGTTTGGAATGCTCACTGCCATCACAGGATCAACGCTTGGTAAGATTTCGTTTCTCTCTCTTTCTCTCGAGCTCCTGTCTGTAACAATAGATTCTTTCGACGCACAGTGAGGCAGCGTTGTATGTGGCTCTTTGCCATCTTTCAGGTCGGTTTTGTCATACTATTTGCGCATGTTTTCTACAGTTGGGTAAGATCACTCTCTTAAAACTTTTTTAGTTCTTATTTCAAACCATGATCCAGATGAAGTTGAACCCAATCTTGTCGATTTCGCTGGCCTGTTTTGCGGGATTCGGATTGTCCATGATCGTGAATGCTCTCCTCCTGGAATGTTGGAGCTGGAGAACAAGAGCAGCGCGACAAGAAGACGCAAGCCAAGATATCGTATAAATATGTACTGTAATTCTTACACACTTGTTTTGTGATAGAACAAAATGTATGCATCGCTCGAGCACCTCGATAGCTCAAAAATCTCTTCCACCACCTCATCGTCAAAGCTGTACCACTTTCCATTTGGAAGTTTGATGGTTGCCGTGTAGTGCCCATAGTCGGAGTCCCCCATATGGTTAATCAATCCATACAGTTTGTACTCCTGTTCGCAAAGTGTCAAAATCTGTGGAAACTCCACCGTAGTGTCGATCTTCTCCACACTCCCCGAAGAATCGCACTTAAACCTTGCCAAATGGAGGATTAAATTCCGTGGGAGCTTCCCAAGCTCCAGTTTCTTGACAGCGTCCTTTTGGTTTCTCTTGCACTTTGGGCAGTGCCAGGAATCCAAAACATCGTCTTTGGTGTACTCCCGGATGCATGATCCCAGAGAAACCGGCTGCGCCGTCTCATGGACTGGCAGCGAGAGAGAGGTGAAAGATTCAGGCGTGGAGGAGACCATGTTGGAGCACTTCGGGCATTTCACTGTGGATTTGGTTTGGCCCTCGAAGAAATCTGCGACTGGAGAGGGGAGCTCTGGCCGCACCTTTTTTCCTTTAGGGGGATTCTCTTGCTTCTTGAATTCCTGATCCAGGGCACCCAAAAGAAAATCGAGATACTCCTGTGCGTCCTGCTGGACGCTCGGATTTGTCAGCTTTGGCCCTGGTTTTACAGACTTGCTTGCGTTATTCCAAATCGCCCTCACCACTTTCCTAAACTCGATTACTATCTCACCTCTTACGCTGTCTGATTTCAAGAAGAAGCTAGAGAGCTCCGGAGTGTGTGCAACGCACTGTAAAGCACTGTTGGCTGAACAAGAATTCCCTTGGTTTTGAAAGCCCACAGCCATTTTCCTTGCACACAACCCAAAAGAAAACCTAGAATATTTAAAGAAAACAAACAGGCATGAAATAATTTAATAATAATTATAAAATAGCAAAATTACCGATTTTACATTTAAATAATAAATTTAAATGGAGAGTTATTGATGATAAATGATAATATTAAAATAATTTATAAAATGCCTAAAAATATTTTTTAATTGTGTTATAAGCTTATATATAAACACATTTTGTGAGGGCCAAGTGTACAGTTACGATGCCGTATACTAATATACTAATATTAGCGTAATGGGATTTTGGTAGCCGTTGGATTGGTTTCAATTTGGACCACTCGCTCCTATATATAAACTAGGGTTTTTGGGCTAATTGATATGCACATTTCGGTATTCCTATTCCATATTCCATGCACTCACATTAGTGGAGATGAAGGGCACTTTTGATTGTCCCTGGGGAGTGCTTGGATTTGGGACTTCGGTTTAGATCTAGCTTTTGCATCGTCTAAATTTAGCTTTTTCCATTTCCTTTCTTTTGTTCTTTCTTTTCAGAATTTTGGTTTAGATCTAGCTTTTTGCATTGTCTAGATCTACCATTTCTTTCCAGCTTTTTGTCATCTCTCTTCTTTTGCTCTTTCTTTTTCGTTCATCTTCATGGCTGATCCACAATCTCCTCCTTTGACTCTAGAGCAACATTTGGTTCAATTGCTTGATGCTATACGCTTGCAATTGAACAACCAAACTCAATTGATGATGGCATTCACAACACGTGGTCCAACTCCTCCTGCTCTTGGTGCCAATCCTCGTGTTCGGCCAGAGTTCTTTCGTGGGAATCTTGGGGATGATGTGTACCATTGGTTCGATCACTTCACGGTGATTGCCACATATCATTATTGGGATGATGCTCGACGTTTGCGTGAGTTTCCCACGTGTCTCCAAGGGACGGCGTTGCAGTGGTACAATGGATTGAGTGCGGCCACTTGTGAGGATTGGAGTGTTCTTCCGGACGTCTTCAAACACGCATTCGGACATGCCGACGATTGTGATGATGCCTTCCAACAATTGCATCGTCTTCGCCAAGGGCCATCTGAGTCGGTGATGCAATTTGGCGTTCGTTTCCGAAGTCTTTTGCTTCGTGCGAAGCCTAATATGTCGGAGCGGATCAAGCTAGGAATGTTGTGGCCAGCACTTCGTCAAGATCTTGTTGGCCTTGTGCATGCACTTGCTCCTGCCACCCTTGACAATGCTCTTTGCTTGGCACAACGTTACGAGACGTCGCCTCTTCCACTTCTCGCTGCACATCCTTCAGCTCCATTTCCTATGAGTGAGAGTCCTGTTCCAATGGAGGTTGATGCTGATGCCCTTTCTCGTGCTCCTCTTCCTTCTCCACTTTCTTCTCATGTTTCTGATGAGCCTATTGTTCTAGCATCTGTGGATTTTCTATACGAGGATTCAGTGCCGTTGGCGGTTGCTGTACTTGATGTTCAGTGTCCACAAGGCGTAGAGCAAGATCTACCTTCTCTTGATGAGGTTCGCGAGGCTCAAAAGATTGAGCCGTGGATTCGAAGGCTTCAAGATGCGTTTGAGGATCCTACATCACTTGCTGATGACTTGCCTTTTCGGCATTTACATTCTCAATATTGCCTTGAGGATGGCCTTCTTTATTTTGTGGGGACGGATCCTAATGATCATTTACGACTGGTGGTGCCTTGTATCTTTATTCCACGGTTTCTCCATGCCTACCATGATTCTCTTGTTTTAGGTGGGCATATGGGACATCGTCGTGTGACCGAGAAGCTATGCAGGTCTTTCTATTGGCCAGAGATGAGACGTGATGTTATCCGGTATGTGCGTAACTGCGTTTGGTGCCAAGCTCATAATACTCCCCGTTGTGCTCCGGAAGGACGGTTGGAGTCAATTGCAGTTTCCCGTCCATTCGAGTTGGTGGCATTTGATCTTATGGGAACTTTTTCACGATCGACTGCTAGCAATGAGTATGTTATTATTGTTTCTGACTACTTGACTCGTTGGGTGGAAGTTGGTGCTCTTGCTAGCGCCTCTGCAACTGCTGTTGGATACTTTCTCCTCAATCGAGTGGTGTTCTAACATTCTTGTCCAGAGCGGATTCTTTCGGATAATGGTCCTGCATTTATGGCTGAGGTATTTCATGTTTTGACGTCTCAGTTGGGGATACACCACACTTTTACGAGTGCTTATCATCCACAATCAAACGGTCTGGTGGAACGGCTCGTTCGGACATTCAAATGGATGATTGCAAAGTATGTGAACTTTCAGCATTCGGATTGGGATGGTTATTTGCTGTCTCTTCGGTATGCCTATGTCACAGGGGTGCAGAGTTCTGTTGGTGCTTCACCATATAAACTTCTATATGGCCATGATCCAATATTACCAACGGAGCTGGGTTTACCTTCGCGATTGTCACGAGCTCTTGATGCTAGGTCATGGGATCAATATTTGACGAGCATTCTTCCACTTGTCCGAGCAAAGTCTACCGAACACTTAGGCCATGTACAAGTGGGACAACAACGGCACTACAACTCCCATCATTGTCCACCTGCAGAGTACAAAGTGGATGATTTGGTGTTAGTCCATTTTCCCCATCTTACGGTACGTGGTTTATCTAAGGGGCTCCTTGCGCAGTGGAAAGGACCATATCGGGTGTTGTGGCAAGTTGGACCGCAAGTTTATGAAATTCAGCATGACATTCAGCAGGCCGATCCTCCAAAGATTGTGCATGTGCAGCGGTTGAAACACTTCATACAAAGGGATCAAGAGCAGTTAATGCCATCTACAGATCCGCCGATGCCTCCTCCTGACATTCCTCCAGATCCCGGCCCATCTACAAGAGAACTCTGATAGCCTTCCATTATTCCGAGAGGAGGGGATGATGTGAGGGTCAAGTGTACGGTTACAATGCCGTACACTAATATTAGCATAGTGGGATTTTGGTAGCCGTCGGATTGGTTTCAATCCGGACCATTCGCTCTTGTATATAAGTTAGGGTTTTTGGGCTAATTGATATGCACATTTCTATATTCCTGTTCCATATTCCATGCACTCACAATTTCACATTATAGAATTAAACTTCACTACTTAAATATCTCTTTTAAAATTATACAAAGGATTAAATATCAAACTATTTCACACTTTTGTCTTTTATATTTTAGCTAATTGAATAAGTATCACACAACCAAATAAAAAAATATGAGGAAAGGGATTCAATATGTAATAATTATATTCTAATATAAATATATTTTAAGTTATGATAGTAACTTTAAAAGTTTTAAACACTATTTCTATAAGGATTTCTTACACTCTTGACAAAAGTTTTTATAATTAAGAAAATGGAATAAAAAAAACATGAATGTAATCTACTAGGAATCTTGAAAGTTTTTTTTTTTTTTGTAACATTCAAAAATTCACAAGAGAAAATGCATATATGAAAAGCTAAAAACCACAATTTTTCTTAGGATAATTGACAAAAATATACAAGTGATGGTAGAAGAAAATACATGGAAGTTTAAAAATCCTTAATTTATATTTAGTGTATGGTAATGTTACTATTTTTTTTTCACATGTAGTATAATATATCCTCTATGTAATTTCAAAGAGTTAACACATAAAACATTCCAATTTCGTTCTTCAACATTTTAGCTAAATTCTCTTTAATATCCTTTTTAGTATATTTTCTAAAAGAAGAAAAGGTTTTAATGATCTAAGACCCTTTTTGCTAAAGGCTTTTCTTTATTTAGATGCCTTTTGTGCTAAATAATGTATCAAAAATACTTTTCTTTCTTGTGATATAAAAATTTGATTTTGTGAAAAATACATTAACAAAAAGCTTTAGCATATTATGCTCAAGATTTTGAAGACTGAAGACTAGAGGGACCAATTACAAGAGTGAAAGGAATCAAAACATGGTACATATTATCCCCAAGATATCAGAAGGCCATCACAAAGATGTTGAAGATTGCTGAAGTACATCTGGTTGGCTAGTTGCACTTAATATAGAGAGATCCACTTGCATGGGATCTGGCATTGGTTGATCCTTAGGACACTGCATCGTGAAAGCGTAAAAAGCAAAAGAGAGAAATCAGAAATGAAAAACGAATAATATATTATCGAAGGTGACAATCATAACTGGGAATCTAAAACTCATGTGTTAAACTTGTGGCGGTCGTGTGGAGTGGAGTAGTCGATGACGCTTCCAACAGGGATGACGCCATACGGATTGATGGAGGGATGACTTCCGTAGTAGTGCTTTTTGATGTGGTCCATGCGGACGGTGTCCGAGATCCCATCCATCTGGTACACGTCCTTGACGAAGTTGAAGAGGTTTGGGTACTCACGGATCAGCTTCTTGTTGCACTTGAAATGAACAACATAAACCTGGCATAGGTAATGAATTTGAATAAAACTTCGAGAGAAAGCAAGAAAAAAAAACACCCCAGAGCTTACTTCGTCGAATCTTATGAGCGTCTTGAAGAGCCGGAGATCTGCCTCAGTGAAAACGTTTCCGCACAGATACCTCTGCTTTGAGAGGATATCCTCGCAGCGATCCAGCGCATTGAACAGAGCCTCAAACGCCTGCGACAAGTAAAAGAACTTGGATTCATGGCTTCCGAACGAAGAAAAACTAAAGAAGAAAGGTTCTGAAGATTTACCTCCTCATAAGGCTTCTGCTTGGTTGCAAAGCCACAGCGATAAACTCCGTTGTTGATGGAGTCATACACCCAAGCGTTCACTTCATCAATCTTGGCCTGGAGATCTCTCGGGTAAAGGTCGAAGTCGGGACGCTTTGCAAGATGGTTGAACTCGCTGTTGAGCATGCGGATGATATCAGAGCTCTCATTGTTCACGATAGTTTTCTTTGCTTTGTCCCAAAGAACCTGTTTACGTCAGGCAATCAAGCTGTGAAAACCTTGAAGGGAAAGAAAGAAACGAAGAAAGAAAGGAAGCGAGTACTCACGGGAACAGTGTACTTTCCAGTGTAGTTTGGATTGGCGATGTCGTAAAGTTCACGGACAGTCTTGGCATCGTTTATGGGGTCAGGCTGAGCACCAGGTTCCTCGTTGTCAGAGGAAGGAAACGTCCATCCAAAGTGACTCTCGCCTTCTTTGGTTCTCTCCCACTTTGGTTTTGTGGACTACACGTTACGAGAGAAAGGTGTGAAGATCATCCTCAAGAAAACAAAAGAAGAAGCTTCTAGCACTTAGAATTGTCCAAAGCAACAAGGATACACGCCAACCATATGAAGCACAAGAATCGAAGAAAACAACACTTAGTTGTCACAAACAAACCATATGAAACACAGGAAATCGAAGAAAACGCTAGCTTCATGCAAGCGCGAGAAAGCTTCTAACTTCCAAAAGAAAGAAGGAAATTTCTTTGACATACCGTGACGCCAATAGCATGGTCTAAGCCCTTGAGCTTGAGCGTAGCGAAGCACCGGGAAGCCCAGGGACACGCATACGAGATGTAGAGATGGTACCTATCGGCCACGGCCGGAATATCACACCCTTCTTTGCTAGAAATCCAGCTGCGAAACGATGACTCGGTGCGCTTGAATTCCCCATCCGTCGATGTCTCATCGATCGCCGTCTTTCCCATCGCTCGTCCAGTTCCAAATCGCCTCTTCTGGATCCGAGCGGCAAATCGCAGTGATCCTCTGGCGATCCCGACGGAGAGAGCCGCCAGATTGACTTCCTGTTGCCCGCAACGTGGCAAGCATTTCTTTTCTACTTCGATTTGGATTACTTTGGGCTCTGTTTTTTAGGGTTATGATGCTGGGAGCTGCCCAGCGATGGCGATGGCGTCTCCCGGCGTGGAATCTGGGAAGCAGGAGCTTGTATTCCACGCTCATGGGTATGTTCTTGCGAAATGTAGGTGGATTGGAGTCATGGATTTTCTATCTCCAGACAAGCATGCGCGCATTCCCGACGATATTTTGCGAATTTTGGAGAAGAGAATGATCTCTATTGAAGACCGCCATGCCTGCCTTTCCGAAGCGCTTCTAGAGGTAAAGTGTAGATTCGGATTTCGTCCTTGAAAATACGATCGTGAATGATTTCAGCCTGGGATTGCGTCAGAAAAGCTCATCAAGATGAACAAGGAGCTTCGCAATCTGGATTACTCCGTGGATATGATCAAGGCGCTGAGAGCCAAAGAAAAGGTTTGACGTCTAAAGTTTGGAAAAAAGAGACTCTTTGGTTGAATGCAGGAAGTAATTGGCTTGAAAGAATTGGTCAAAGAGTCCGTTGAAGACGAAGAAATGCGTAGGCTGGCCTCTGGAGAACTTCAAACGGCCACCAGAGAAGTGAGAGATGCTCAGCACGATGTTCTCCTGGAGCTTATACCTAAAGATGAAGCTGCTCGAAGCAGAGCAGGCAAGTGCTCTCTGATGTGCTTGATGTTTGATATGTTTCATCTAATTTTTAGGAGCTGGAGGTGACGAAGCGTCAATTTTTGCGTCTGATCTCTTCAAGATGTAGGCACGTCTTTCTGGTTCATGTCGAATGCTTATTAGATTTCTATGAATGCTCTCAGGTATGACAAATATGCTGCAAACAACTCATGGAGGTTTGAAGTTCTGAGCATTACTACCACCGACACCCGAGGTTACAAGGTAACTATCCGGTTCTCCACGGGCGTATCTAAGCTTGTTTTTATAGGAGGCTAGTGCTGCAATATCTGGAGATGGTGTTTATGGAGCTCTTAAGTTCGAAAGTGGCGTTCATCGCGTCCAGGTACGACAGTAATTGCCGTGGTTTCATTTTTTTATATGCATCCGTGTGCAGCGTGTTCCTGTCACTGAGAAGGCTGGGCGTATACACACAAGTACTGCGTCAGTCGCTATTCTTCCCGAAGCGAATGAGGTTCACTCCAGGTTTACTAAACCTTTGCACTTGCATAGACCATTGATACATGTTTCTTTTTCTCGTTTTTCTGTTGCTGAAGTTTTGACTATGCTGACAGGTTGATGTCGAGATCCGTAATGACGAGATAAAGATAGACACTTACCGAGCTGGTGGAGCCGGTGGACAGCATGTAAATACTACCTGCAGCGCAGTCCGAGTTACCCACGCTCCAACAGGTATCGTGGTCGCAATCCAAGACACAAGGTAATCCCTTCAACACGCGTGCTTTGCTACAACTGAGCTGAGATTGTATAGAACAAAGCAAAAGCTTTGAGTATTTTATATGCTAGGCTGTACGAGCTCGAGCGGTCCCGAGCAGCGGCAAGTCGGTCTGAATTACGACAAGATCAGGTAATTCAGTTTATTGTCGCAGAACGTTATTTTTTCTATTTTTATAAATTGTCACTCCAGATCGGCTCAAGCGACAGATCGGAGCGCATAAGAACGTATAACTTTCCCCAAGGTCGGGTAACTGATCATCGAGTGGGAGTGACGCAACACGCGATTGAGCAAATTATGGAGGGGATTGGTCTGGAAATTTTTGTGAATGCGCTCAAGATGCAGCACGAAGCGAGCGCTTTGGCGTCGCTCAAATCTGCAGCAGCTTGACTACCCATAAGTTTCACTGTTTTTTTTTCTTCCTATGTTTTTTTACCGTGTCAGATGTTGACAATTGGAAGCATTTGTTTGAACGTCAGATGAGTGTTCTATTATAAATGGCAACAGCACTGACTTGTTTCCATGCACAGGACCGTCATCGGATCAATGTGCGTGGACGGCACGAAGCTGATCATGTAGGCCTCTTTCGTGCGACGATGTGAGCTAAAAAATGGAGTGGGGGAAGTCAGAGGTGCCAGGCCACCTACTTAAACGTTTCTCCTGAAAGAATCAACATCTTGGTCAGTAGCAGAGGAGGATGGAGTTTTGTGTGGAGTTTTGCGAGGACGAGGAGCTTCTAGCTGTCAGCCTGTTCATCCCAGAAATGCAGGATTTTCCCTCTTTTGGGAATTCTTCTGAAAGGGAATTAGAATGCTTGCCGCCATCGCCTTGCTAGTTTAAAGGAATAACGTTTCTAGGAAAAAAGAAAAAACATCGTTAGTAAAGCATATTTTCACCACCATGACTTTTACTTTACATTTGAAAAGTTTCTAAAATATTAAATAGTCTTACCTCCATAAAGGTTTGAATAAACAATAGATTAGTTTTGGTTTAAACCAGACGAAAAGGTCGCCTCACAAGAAAAAAGTACCAGTCACTGAAAGTTTCACCTCTCCTCATCTCTCAGGAATCCACCTCTTTTGGTTTAAGCTTAATTTCGCCACAACCAGCTTGCTCTTGCTGCTCCGCCCAGCACGAGTTTGTGCTAGCCCGCACAACAAAAACAAAATAGATTTTACCCTTGTTGTAAACTCTGTATGGATCAGCAGGAAATCTGATCCAGACGATAATCTTGTTGTGGGCTAGTGACATGGATTAAGTGGTCTAAAGTCTCTTTCATACTAAAGCCTTAAAAAGCTTTTCACAGAAGTTTAAGTAAAACAGGATGCCTCATGGATTGTGCATTGCCATGAGGGCTTGCGCAGATTTTACTCATAAAATATACTTTACATTCCAACAAATATTCTATACCGTATCAGAATATTTGTTTGAATGTATAGTATATTTTCATCGCCCTTAACAGCATACCTAGATTATTTGGTAGTCAGCAAGAATGAGAAACGTGTTGGTCAAGGACATCCATCATCTCCAAGACTATCCAGTCTTTGGTTCACAGACATCGGCTTTTGTTACGTTTGGGAGCGTGGGGGAGCTCATGGCCTTCTTGCGACAGCAGCACCCGCTCTGCCCACACGGCTGCGATAGCTCGGCACTCACCAAGTTTGACTATTTCGAAAACCACATGCTGATCCAGCCGCGCTACAAGTGCACGGTGTGCAAACGGCACTTCACCCTGGGTGGCACAATACGAGCGAAACGAGCCAAGAAAGAAGATGGCGGTCGTCCAAGGAAGAGACCCAAGAAGGAGCAGCAGCAGAACAAGTCAAGGGGGCAGTGTCTTCCTCGCGAGATGGTGCCTTCGTCGATGATTCCATCGGCCGCAACCAGTGGGAGTCGCGGTTGTGCATCCCCGCACAGGGCAAGTCGCGGAGCTTCAAGGAGAACGGCGAGGCCATCACCAAGCACTACAGGTCAATGCCCTAGTCAACTCGTGGTCCGGGATCAGTCGTTGCCAGTCAACGCCTGTGACCTCGAGGGATACGTGCAAGACGCGGAGATCTTCCAGGAGGTTGAGAAATTGTGGTGTAAAATGGATTTGGAGGACAAGGGTCCTTCCGTGGAGGACGAGGAGAAGAACTTTCTCAGGGATTTCAATGTCGATGATGGTGATGATCTAGATTTACTACTGGGTCTTGAGGAGTTCAGCCGGGAGTTCAGCAACCCACAGGGCCAGGGCACCCGATTCGATTTGGGCGAGGAGCAAAACAATTTTGCCATGGAGCTGGTGTGGCAAATGGAGGAAGAATTTCCCATCCCAGCACTAGACGAGGAGAATGATTTCGCCATGGAGTTGGAGCGGGAAATTGAGGAAGCATCTATGAAAGCAAAGGAGGAGGCAATGCTTGTATGGAAGGACGAAGTGAGTAAAATTCGAAATCAAGACAATCTCACATTCACCACAAATCACATTGGTTTTGGAGGTGCCCAAACTCTTAAATGCTGATCGATCAGCAAAAAATGAATGATAAATGAAAAGCATTAGCGAATAGAAGTAATTTTGTTTTTGGAACAAGTTCATTACATTATTTGTTATTAGGTGAAGAGTTTTTCGTGAAAAAAGACTCACCCATCCCTTGTGAAAGAAAGAAAAAAAGAAATTAGGGCGAATTAGGTCTCCATAAGGTCGTCCCCGGAGGCAGAGGAGCCGCGATGCTGTGATTGTCAACCGAGCAGGTATTCTGGTGGCGCCCTCGCCGACAATGCAGCGATCGTCCTAGCGATCGATCGATCGATCGATCGATCGCTCGCTCGCTCCGGAGAAGAGCAGAGAAATGATCTGGGCAGGATTCGCGTACGCCGCGGGCGCCGCGATCGGCCACAGCTGCATCGATGCCAGCAGGAAATGGGCGTCCCAGCGCTTCTCGGACCGCGAGCTCGTAGCTCTGGTGGCTCTCCTGGACGCGCTGCTCCTCTCCTCCATGGCGCTCCTCTCCGGCGGCTTCGATCTCTTCTCTTTGACGCGGCTGGACACCGAGTACTTCGTCTGCTTCGTCGACAGGGGCCGCGGCAGTGAGTCCAGATGCCACTAGAGAAAATTTGATCTCGTCATCAAAGGTAGAACTTTTCTTTCTTTCTTTCATCGTCAACTTTGTCATCTCGTCTTCGCAGGACAAGCAGATCAAACGCTCCAGGTCGGCGCTCGATGGTCACCAAAAGGAGAAGAAGCTCACCCGGCTTTACTCCGGAACGTTTCTCGTCAAGCCGACCACTCCTCGTCCTCGTCCCCGGGAAACTTCACAAGGAGACGATGGAGCCCAAGACACTGACCATGCCAACGACACCCAAGGTACGTAAACTTCCTATGATCAAGTTCATGGAGACCATGGTTCCATGATCTGAAAGTTTCAAAACTTTTAGACGGCGAGGCCGAGGAGATCCCGGAGGAGGAAGCAGTGTGCCGCATTTGCGTGTGCGATCTGGGAGAGGAGGGCAAGACGCTCAAGCTCGAGTTTAGCTGCAAAGGGGAGCTGGCGCTGGCTCACGAGGAGTGCGCTCTCAAGTGGTTTGGGATCCGAGGCAACCGCGAGTGCGATGTTTGTGGCCAGGAGGTCGTCAATCTCCCCGTCACGCTCGTCAGGCTCCAGCAAAACCAAAACAATATCAACGCTGAAACTCAAGTTCTCCAGCAAGCTCAAATGGCGCAAATGAGTGCTCTCAACAGGTAGATTC